AAATGGCAAAAGAGGTCCAAAATGCCAATAAGGAGAAGAATGCTCTAAAAAGCAAAATTGGCCAAATGGAAAAGGAAATCCAAAAGCTTACTGAAGAAAATACTTCCTTAAAAATTAGAATGGAGCAATTGGAAGCTAGTGACTTTATGAGAAATCAAGACACTGTAAAACAAATCCAAAAGCATGAAAAAATAGAAGACAATGTGAAATGTCTCATTGGAAAAACAACTGACCTGGAAAATATATCCATAAGAGAGAATGTAAAAATTATTGGACTATCTGAAAGCCATGATGAAAAAAAGAGCCTAGAAATGATCTTTCAAGAAATTATCAAGGAAAACTGCCCTGGTATTTTAGAACCAGAGGGCAAAATAGAAATTGAAAGAATCCACCGATCACCTCCTGAAAGAGGTCCCCAAAGGTAAACTCCAAGGAATATTGCAGCCAAATTCCAGAGTTCCCAGGTCAAGGAGAAAATATTGCAAACAGCCAGAAAGAAACAATCCACATATTGTGGAAACACAATCAGGATAACACAAGATTTAGCAGCTTCTACATTGAGGGACCGCAGGGCATGGAGTATAATATTCCAGAGTGCAAAAGAGATAGGATTACAACCAAGAATCACCTATCCAGCAAAACTGAGTATAATCCTGCAGGGGAAAAAAATGGTCATTCAGTGAAATAGAGGACTTTCAAACATTCTTGATGAAAAGACCAGAGCTGAATAGAAATTTTGACTTTCAAATATAAGACTCAAGTGAAATATGAAGAGGTAAACAGGAAAGAGAAAATCATAGGAGACTTATTGAGGTTGAAATGTTTACATTCCTGCATGGAAAGATGATATTTGTAACTCACGAGTCCTTTGTCAGTATTAGGGTAGTGGGTGGGAAATATATATATGTATGTATAGATAGATAGATAGAGGGCACAGGGTTAGTTGAAGATGAAGGGGTGATAACTGGAAAATAAAATTAAGGAGTGAGAGAGGATTATACTGGGAAAAGGAGAAAGGGAGAGGTAGAATGGGGTAAATTGTCTCACATAAAACAGACAAGAAAAATGTTTTACAGTGGAGGGGAAATGGGGAAGGTGAGAGGGAATGAGTGAATCTTATTCTCATAGAATTTGGCCTAAGGAGGGAATAACATACACAATTGGGTATGGAAATCTATCTTACCCTACAGGAAAATAAGGGGACAAGAGAGCAGGGGTGTGATAGACAGGAGGGCAGATTGGTGGAGGGGATAATCAGAAGCAAACACTTCTGAGGAGGGACAGAGTCAAAAGAGAGAAGAGAATAAATTGGGGGGTGGGATAGGATGAAGGGAAATATACTTAGTTTTTCACAACATGACCACTATGGAAGTGTTTTGCATGATTACACTTGTATAACCTGTATCGAGTTGCTTGCCTTTTCAATGATGGTGAGTGGGGATAGAGGAAGGGAGGAAATTTGGAACCCAAAGGTTTAAAAGCACATGTTAAAAAAATTGTTTTCACATGCAACTGGGAAGTAAGAAATATAGGAAATGGGGTATTGCCATGTATCCTGCCCTACAGGAAAATAGAAGGGGTAGGGGATAAGGTAAAGGGGAGAGGGATAGAAAAGAGGGCAGATTAGGGGAAGGGGTATACAGAATGCATGCCATCTTGGGGTGGGAGGAGGGATGAGATGGGGAGAAAATTTGGAACTCAAAATCTTGTGGAAGTAAATGTTGAAAACTAGAAATAAATAAATTTAAATGATGAAAAAAAGTTTTTACAAGAGTTTAAAGTTGACTATTATGAATTGTTATCGCTATGTTAACTCTTAACTTAATGTTGTTATAGTTAAAAGTAAACAATTATATAATATTATTAATTATTATTACACCTAAAGAATTCATGTAAAAAAAGAGAAGTATGAAAAGGTAAATAGGAAAGAGAAATCATAAGGGACTTATTAAAGTTGAACTCTTTACATTCCTACATGGAAAGATGATATTTGTAACTCATGAGACCTTTCCCATTATTAGGATAGTGGGAGGGAATATATACAGACAGAGGGCACAGGGTGAGTTGATTATGAAGGGATGAAATCTAAAAAATAAAATTAAGGGGTGAGAGGGAATGTATGAACTCACTCTCATCATATTTGGCTTAAGGAGAGAATAACATACACACTCAACTGGGTATGGAAATTTATCTTAACCCAGAAAGGGGAAGGGGACAAATAGGGGGAAAGGGGATGAGAGGGGTAGTGATAGAAAGAAGGGCAGACTGGTGGAGGGGGTAATCAGAAGCAAACATTTTTGAGGAGGGACAGAGTCAAAGTAGAGAATAGAATAAACAGGGGGCAGGATAGGTTGGAGGGAAATATAATTAGTCTTTCACAACATGACCATTATGGAAGTGTTTTGTATGACTGCACATGTATAGCCTATATCAAATTGCTTGCCTTCTCAATATGGATGAGTAAGATTTGAGGACGGGAGAGAATTTGGATCTTGAAGTTTTAAAAATGAATGTAAAATTTATTTTTACATGCAACTGGGAAATAAGATACACAGGCAATGGGATATAGAAATCTATCTTATCCTACAGGAAAATAGAAGGGGAAGGGGATAAGAGAGGGAAGGTAATAGAAGGGAAGATAGATTGGGTGAAGGGGGAATCAGAATGCATGCCAACTTGGGGTGGAGGGAGGAGAGAGATAGGGAGAAAATTTGGAACTCAAAATCTTGTGGAAGTGAATGTTGAAAAATAAATTAAATAAATATATTTATAAAAATAAATTTGATTTCCCTTTATTATATGATCCTTGCTACAGGTTATCCTATCCATCTTGGTGGTATCTTATTATTTTTCTCTTGGTTTCTCAGAAACACCTAGGTGAATCATTATTGAATTACCCAATGCAATACCATGAGGGTTTTTTCATGCTTTGTGAACAACTGGCTTATCTTGATTTGAGAAGTTTCAAATCACACACACACACACACACACACACACACACATACACACACACAACTGTGAGGCTTGTTTTGCATTCTTGATCAATTTTTGGGTTGGGTTATATCACCTCTGCCATCTTCTTAAGTTCTTAGTTTCTTGGATTTTGAGGGAGGTAGTGGTTTTCCTCTCACAATAAATCCTTTAGAAAAGATTGAGTAGTTCCTTGGTGAGGATATTGTATAAGTATTATAGTAAAATATAGGCTGATAGAGAGAGCCTCTGAGGATCCTTTAATTCTAAGATTCTGTGATTATTATTCAAGAACTTTCTTTATAGATCTCTCTGTAAATTTTCCAAAATCTGAGAGCTTCCCCATACAGACATTCTTAGAATGCATAAATAGGTTATTTTCTTTTCCCCAGATAATTCTAAATTTCTGGTTCATGTTGCTTAATTTTGCATATATTTTATTTCAATTTCTTTAGTCATACTGTCATCATTGAAAAATCTTGATTTCTTAATTATTAATTCTGGTAAGTGATCTTTATAATTCCACTGGCAACTTATTTTTTATTTAATTTTAATGTAACATAGTTAGGCACACACAATGTTTACTTTTTCCTCACTGGGTTTGTGTGAATTCTATTTGTATTTCAATGTTTTTTTTTTAATTCCAGGAAATTTTGTTTAATGATTTCCTGGAATATTGTACTCAGATTCTATCTTTTCTTGGAATATAAATAATCTTGAGACAGTTACAATACTTTCTATTCTGCAGGTTTACATTAATCTTCATGATTTTTACTTTGGATAATTGGGTAATTTTTTAACCTAAATTTCCAGTTTGCTTTGAGCTCACACTAGATTGTCCTCCAAACATTTATCAAAATATCCTCCAACATTTATTCAAATAATCTCTATTATGCATTTACTATACAAACCATAGTGTCCTTAGCTGGTGGAAATGAAAAAAAAAACAAGACACACTTATGGAGTTGATAATTTAATAAGCAAATTAATTAATATTTATTTATTATAAGCTTTCTGTGTGACAGATGTTGTGCAAGTTGATGGGGACATAAAAGTGATATTGTCATTGGCTTTAGGGGCCTTACATTTACTAAAACATATGCAGAGATAACTAATACACAGTATCACACATTATTGCATTAAAGAAGTTGTAAAACAAACAGCTATGATGTCTGAGACAGTAGATTTTTAACCAAACATAAAGGTCTCCTCCAACAATAACATAATTATATGATTCAGTAATTCATCCAAGGTTCATACAATCGAAGTATGCTTGCCTGGATTAGGAGGTTAGATGAAGTGACTTCTAAGGCCTCTTTGAATTCTCAGATCCACCATTACAAGGGAGGACAGTGCTTTGTAAGCAAGTAGGGGGCTAGAGGAATATTCCATCCAAAGGAGACTGAAGGAAGAGGTAGCTACATGCTATAAGAAGGCATGAGAAACACCTTCTGTTCAGGTAACTTAGCAAGATAGGTGATTATGTGATTAATAAGTCATGGAACCAACAATGTATGAAGTCCCACCAGGGTTGGATAATACACCAGGTACAAGACTTCTACTAAGGTCCTTTGGCAATGGAAAGGAAAAAATTAAAAATAAAAAAGGACATCCAAATTTGGTATCAAGATAGGTGGATGAGATCATGATCAATGAATCTATGGCTCATAGGCTCTCTATCTAGTTTGTGACATTTTTTTTTAATTTCTCTGACCTCTAGAAGCAATTAGTTATTACTGAGTATGAGACATAAGCCCAATATAAACTTTACATCTTGAATCCCTCCTTAGGTACACACACATAAAAAGGATTTAAATATAAACCCTAAGTGAAAAGCAATATCAAAATTACTGTAGCTAAATGGGGAGAATACGATAAAAATAAATTTTCTGGGAGATAAACAGTGAAGGATCCAGAGTCTCTAGAATTATCTGGTCAGAGATACAGAGAAAGCAGACAACTTTGATTTATACTCAGACAGATGAAACAGGAGGAAGAATACCAGTGAATTGGAACTGGTTATAAGCAAGTCACATATTCTGGGAATGGTTTTCCTTCCCCAACACTCTCCTCAAAGCACCCTTCACCTCTGCATTCCTCAAGCTATAGATCAGGGAATTCAACATAGGGTTAAAGAGGCTATAAAATAGGGAGAGGATTTTCTGTTGCTCCTCAGGATGGTTGGAATTGGGGGTCATGTACATTATGATGGCGCTGCCAAAGAAGAGCCCAACGACACAGAGGTGGGAGGAGCAGGTGGAGAATGCTTTCTTTCGTCCCTCCCCAGACTGGATCTTGAGGATGGCATAGAGGATGCGCATGTAGGAGATCAGGACTAAACAGAGAGGTCCAACTAGGATGAACACACAGGCTGTAAAGATAACAAGCTGGTTAAGTCTAGTATCAGCACAGGCCAGTTTGAGCACAGACAGGATCTCACAGAAAAAGTGGTTGACTTCCCTGGGTCCACAGAAGGGCAGCCTCAGAATGAGGACCACATGGAGCAGGGCAAGGAGGAAGCTGAATGCCCAGGAAATGATGGTCAGAGTAGTACACAATCTCCAGCTCATGATGACAGTATATCTGAGGGGATGGCAGATTGCCACATACCTATCATAGGACATCACCACCAAGATGAGACACTCCACATGGGCAAAAGCCAAATACAAGAAGATCTGCATTATGCAGGGAGCAAAGGAGATGGCTCTGTCCTTGTTCAGTAAGTTCACAAGCATCTTGGGTACATTGTTTGAGGCATAGGAAATGTCGACAATGGCCAGATGTGAGAGGAAGAAGTACATGGGAATATGGAGATGGGAGTCCAGACAGATGAGTCCCAGGATGATGCCATTCCCGAGAAGAGTGAGAGCATAGAACAAGGTGAACAGCAGAAAGAGGAATATCTGTATCTCTGGCCTGATGGGAAATCCCAGAAGGATAAATTCTGTGACCAGTGTTTGATTTTTCCACATCCTTTTGTGACAGAGATAGTCAATGTGAGAAATATTTTTGAATCTTATTATTTACTGAATTAAATTATAGTATTTAGGTGATATTCCTTACATTCTCCAGATCTTAAAACACTCAAATTTAGAGGTGTTAGGGTTACTTTTTAGGATCCAAGCAAAACAGGAAGAAAATATAATGTAAGATACACCTCAGATAGGCTCAGGAAGATAATTGCTGCTGGCTAATAGCAAAGGTATGTTTTTCTTTGTGCAGGGGCATAAGTTCTGGCTCTGGAGTCAGAGGATTGGATTCAAGTTCTAGATCTGACCCTCATCTCTTTGAACTTGGGCAGCCTCTTTACCTCCCTGTACCTTGGTTTACCAAATGTAAATAGATGAAATTCAATTCAATAAACATTTATTAAGTGCCTACTATGTGCCAGGCATTATGCTAAGTGCTAGGGATACAAAAAGAAGCAAAAGACAGTCCCTGGCCTCAAGGAGCTCACAATCTAAGAGAGCAACGGCATGCAAACAAATATGTACAAACAAGCTACATACAGGAAAAATAATTAACAGAGGTAAGATACTGTAATTAAGATGGGTTGGTGAAGGCTTCCTATAAAAGTAAGATTTTAGTTGGACTTAAAGAAAACCAGGGAGATCAGTAGTTGGAGTGGATGATAGAGAGCATTCCAGACACAGGGGATAGCCAGAGGAAATACTCAGAGCCCAAAGATGAAATGTCCTCTTTATGGAACTGCCAGGGGGCTAGTACATGGATGAAAGATTAGTGTTGGGGAATAAGGGTAAGAAGATTATAAAGGTAGGAGGAGGGTAGGCTATGAAAAGCTTTAAATATCAAGCAGAGCATTTTATATTTGCTCTTGGAGGCAAAAGGAAGTCACTGGAATTTATAAAGTAAAGCAATGACATGATTAGATCTGCACTTTTAGGAAAATAACTAGTGATTTAATGGAGGATGGGTTGGTCATTGAAGTAATCAAGGTGAGATGATGAGGGCTTGTATCAGAGTGGTGGCAGTGTGAGAGAAGAGAAGGAGGCACATTGGAGAGATATTATAAAGGTGAAATTGACAGACCTTGGCAACAGCTTGGATATGGGAGGTGAAAGATAGTGAAGGCTCTAAGATGATCCCTAGTCTGTGAGCCTGAGGGACTGGAGAGATGGTGTTGCCCTTTACAATCCTAGGGAAGGCAGAAGGGAGGAGCATTTAGGGGAAAAGATGAGTTCTGTTTTGGACCTAATGAGATTAAGATGTCTACTGGACATCCAGAGAGTCAGCAAAACATATCTTTTTAAACATCAGAGATACTATTACCATTTTTTCCCACATGGGGCAAGTTTCAAAAAATATGATGAGATCAGTCAACCCACAGCAGCAAAAGCACTCTCAAACAAATATTCTTTAAGAAAGGCTCATTTGGTAGGAGGCCATGGTGATCCAAGACACCGGCTCCAGAACACAAGAAAGCTCTTGTTGATGGGCTTACCTCTTGTTCTGGTCATTTTTCAGTTGTTTCTGACTCTCTGTGACCCCATTTGGGTTTTTTTTTTTTTGGCAAAACTACTACTATGATTTGCCGTTTCCTTCTCTAGCTCATTTTACAGACCAGGAAATTGAGGCAAACAGGGCTAAGTGACTTGCTCAGGGTCATACAGCAAATAAGTGTCTGTGACCAGATTTGAACTTAGGAATAAGCAGTCTTCCTGACTCCAGGCCTGCTCCTCTATCCACTGTCCAATCTACATGCCAATTTTTGGTGACTAGGGGAGCTTAACTGCATTGTGGCAGCTGGGGAAGAGGCATAATATATCTGATTTTTTTCTACTAATAGTTAATCTAGTACTTTAACAGCTTAAAAAAACTATTTTAACTAATTGTTATTGTTAAGCGATTCAGATATTTCAGTGTTTCTGAAGAAGTGTAGGGGCAATGAGATGGCACAGTGGATAGAGTACCAGGCCTGGGGTCAGGAAGACCTGAGTTCAGCACTGGCTGCAGACACTTAATGTATGACCCTGGGCAAATCACTTAACCCTGTTTGTCTCAATTTCATCATCTGTAAAATGAGCTGGAGAAGGAAATGACGAAATTATCTCTGTGAAGAAACCCCAAATATAAGTACTGCTCTGTCCCCTCTGAATATGTCACCCTGGGGCAAAGGTCCTATTTTCATACTCTATTTATAATTCTTGTTAACGCTCTCCTTAAAGATTATAGAAGCAGAAACTTTTCTCATTAATCTTTCACTGCAGTAATTCAGTCTTTTATCTTTCAGGGGTTCAGAGAGAAAAACTCTTACTGCCTTGTCTCACCCATTTGTTTCAGTGTTAAAACCTTTCCGCTTGTAGACCAGCCTCAACTTTTGTATCATCACCTAAAAAAAAACCCTTGCAACTTTTCTATTTTGACAGGTCAGTATAACAGCCTTAGCGGGAACTCCTAACTTTCCAATCAAAGCGAAGGCTTTCATTTAATAGTTAGTATGCCTTTCTGCTCTAAGGTCTATTCCATCATTCTTTAAATAGCAGAAGCAGAAAGATGTGTAGTACAATGATGCCCAAACGCAAAACCAGGACTTGGTTCCTTCAAATTGTGTAAGACTTCTTAGTCAGTTTGGCCCTGTGTCATAATTAGACATAAAATGCCCTATGTGATCTAGGGCACTGAGTCAGTCAATCAGTACCCATTTAAGAGCCTACTGTGTGCTAGGGACTTTGTTAGGTACTGGGAGTACAAGGACAAAAAGGCAGCAGTCTCAAGGAGCTATTCTCAAGGAGTTTACCTTTGATGATGGGAAACAACATATACAAATATAAGTATAGGAAGAATAAATTACATTTATGTACATAAACATATATATATACTTATGTACACAAATTTACATACATGCACATATACACCTGTGAATTAATATAAATACAATATTAATATAATATAACATGTAAATATTGCAGGGTAGGAAAAGGAGACACTTCCATTTGGAGAAGGGGAGGATCAGAAGGAAAGAAAGGGAGTCATGGAAGGAACTTGGGTAGGGAGCCAGTGTGAGTGACTACATCAGGTCTGAAGCAAAGGAACTGAAATCAGTCTATGATCAGTCCTGTCCTGGCAGAAGCTACTGAGGGCAAAGACTCAACCTAGTAGGAACAATCTCAGAGTTGTACAAATCTAACAGAAAGATAAACAAATGGAAAAATATAGAGTTAACAAAACGTTGGAGAATTTAGAGCTAAAAGATTTATTTCATCTTCTGAAAGAGACCACCAAAGATATACATATTTCTCATCGCCATATGGCACATTTACAAAAATAGTCCATGTGTTAGCACACAGAAAATTTTCAAATAAATGTAAAAGGAGAGAAATACAAAGCACATCTTTTTAGGTCACAACGCAAAAGAAATAATAATCAATTCAGGAAGCACAAACAAAAGGCACAAACCTAAATGGAGACTTAATAATGACATCCTGAATAACGAATAGGTCAGTGAAAAAATAATCGAAACAGTATAATTATTTGAAAAAGAGTGAAGAGATTTCTGGGATTGAGCTAACACAGTTCTCTGAGGTTAAAAAAAGTCCCTAAAGGTTTATGTTAAAAAAAAAACTGGAAAAGAAAGGATTAATGAACTGAATATATTTTGAAAAAAAATAGAAAGTCAACATATGAACAAACGCAATATAACAAAAGGGGAAACCTTGAGAATTAAAAGAGAAACAGATAAATTGAAAATGAGGAAGACTAAAGAACTTATAAACAGAAAGTTGATTCTTTGAAAAGACTAACTAAATTTATAAGTATTTAGTCAGTCTGATTAAAAATAAAAGGATAGAAAATGAGATCAACAAAATAAAAATAGAACAAGGTGAAATCACAACAAAACTAGAAGATAAAAGAATTTTAAGAACCTTCTATGCACAATTAAATAACAACACAGCTGAAATATAAAATAAATAAAATATTACCTTCAGAAAAATAAAATAGCCAGACTAATTGAATATCAAATAGTCCAGTCTGAGAAAAGGAAATAAAATAGCTATAAAGAAACTAACAAAAGAATAAAAAACTCAAAGTTCAGATCAATTTATATGAGAATTCTATCAAACTTTATTACCTTTTTTTTTTTTTAAAGCAATTAGGGTTAAGTGAGTTGCCCAGAGTCACATAGCTAGTACGTGTCAAGGGTTTGGTCTGAGCTCAGATTTGAACTCATGTCCTCCTGACTTCAGGGTGGGTGCTCTATCCACTGTGCCACCTAGCTGCCCCTCTACCAGACTTTTAAAGAACAATGGATACCTATATTACACAAATTATTCTCCAAAATTGAGAAAGAAACCATTCTACCAAACTCCTTTTATGAGGCAAATGTAGTCCTAATACCTTAACTCAGGAGGTTTGGTAAAGCAAAGAAAAAGAATTATAGGTCAATATAATTTTTTAAAAATTTTAAATAAATAAAACCCTGGCAAAAAAAGAATATAGAAACTTAAAAAAAAAGAAATCAATCATTTTGGCCAAGTTGTATTTATGCCAGGGAGACAGAGGGTTTAATATGAGGAAAACAATCAACATAACTAACCATGTTGAAACAAAAGAATCCAAAAAACTTGATTATCTTAAAAGATGCAGGAAAAGTCTTTGACAAAGTACATCTCTTGTTTATATCTTGAAACATTTATCTTCATAACTACGTGAGAGATGAATTCTAAACCCCCCATCCCCAAAAGAGAGCTCTATCAATTAGAAGAGATAGAAATTGAAAAGCTATTGCCCAAACTAAATGAGTGAATCTAGGTCAACAAAGGAAGCAGTTGACTGAGGGAAAAAAAGAAAATCTCTGTTAGGACCTATAGATAACAACATTTATACCAGACCAAAAGCCATTCCCCAACATAACAAAGTCATCAAACAAATCACCAAAGCAAATGGTTCTCAAAAGTAGAATTATACACTATTAACAAACAATATGAAAGAATGCTCCAAATCACTAATAATGAAACAAACTCAAATAAAA